ATGATTAAAAATGGAACTATCTTATAATCCAGCAATTCTTTTAAATCTTTTTTAAATTTTTCTAATTTTTCTTTATTTATTTCTGAGAGAGAGAGAGAGACAATGTGAGCAGGTGAGGGCCAGAGAGAGAGAGGAAGACACAGAATCCGAAACAGTCTCCAGGCTCTGAGCTAGCTGTCAGCACAGAGCCCGATGCAGGGCTCAAACTCATGAACCGTGAGACTACAACCTAAGCCAAAGTCGGATGCTTAACCAACTGAGCCACACCCAGGCATCCCTAATCCAGCAATTCTTTAGGTATTTATCCAAAGAAAATAAAGGCATGAACTTGAAAAGATATATGCAACCTCTTGTTTATTGCAGCATTATTTACAATAGGCAAGATATGGAAACAACCTTAGTGTCCATCAAGAGATGAATGGATAAGGAAAATAGCACACACACACACACACACACAAGAATATTATTCAGTCATAAAAAAGAATGACATTTTGCTATTTCTGATAGATGCGTTTATTTTTGTGACATTATGTTAAGTGAAATAGTGGCTTCACTTATATGTGGAATCTATAGAAAAAAAGAAGAAAAGAAAGAATAAAAAGTCAATTTCATAGATACAGAGCATAGCAGATTGATGGTGAGAGTGTGGGGTAGGCAAAATAGGTAATGGGAGTCAAAAGATACAAACTTTAAGTTATAAAATAAATATCATGAGAATGTAATGTACAGCATGGCAAGTGTAGTTAATAATACCATCTTGCCTATCTGAAAGTTGCTAAGAGAGTAGATCTTAAAAGTTCTTATCAAAAAAAATTCTAAGTATGTATGATGATGAATGTTAAAAATATTTCCTGGGGCAATCATTTCATAAAATACACAAATATTGAATAATTATTTTGTATAACATAATGTGACAAAAATGATGTAACTACATTTCAATTAAAATAACATTTAGTTTATAATATTAGTAGGGAATTTTTTTTAATTCTTTACAAAGATTTAATGACACACATGAATCATCTCTCCTTTTATATATGCCACATACATGTGCATGAGAAACTAAGATAACAATATTGAAACTCAAAGAAAATTGTAATTTGTAGACAGAAATGCATTTATTGAAATTATAGAAGAAAATGTGCCCAATATATATAACTTGAAGAATTGAGTAATTAAAAAATAAAAGGAAGTCTTCTAGTGGTAAAAATAAATTGATAACAATATCTTTTAATAAAAATGATAAATGTTACATATTGATATTAGAAATATTTCACATTCAATTTTATTGGCTCTTCAAAAATTAGTTTTCAAAGACCTGGCAAAATTGGGAATTTAAGTCTTCATGATTGAGGACATTTTTATCAGAAGAACTCATATGCTTAGAAAAAAGAAAGAAATTTTAGGATATGACAGATAATTTGAGAGGAAAGGACATGTAAATCACATCAATCCAAAACTCAGATAAATATTCCCAGTAATGTTTCTTTGGAGGATTTTGGAAGTATGGAAAACCATCTTTTTTTCCCCTCATGATTTTTGGGGAATGCTACAGGTCTGTGTTGACTAGGTGACAGGCTCACTACTGTTCTGTAGAGCACAAAACCATCTTGCTCAATAAGTCTGTCTCTAGCTTCTAGTTATTATTTTTAATGTGGATTGTAGTTTTGGACACAATTTCAAGTTCTGAGAGAATTTACCATGGTATCTAATTATTAATCTTTGTATATGTTAATAAACTCCATGAACCATGAACATTTTGAGAAAAATTAAAGTATGAATAACTCACTTAGGAGTTCATTCAACTTAGGATCCAATACTTAAGTTTAGGATGAGAATATACATTCATGTGAACACTTCTCTATATATGATTACTTATGCTAATCATTGTGTATTTATTAATTTTACATTTATAGCACAGTATTACTTTATTGGCATTAAGTTCTGTCTAGAATTCTTAATATTCCATCATTAAATGAAAGGAATTGGGAGAATTCCTTCACATGTCTCCTGCTCATAATACATTTGCATTATATTTAAGAATATTTTGTAAACTTGTCCTTAAAATATTAAATAATATACTTAATGAAAAAAATATAGAGAAGAATCTAGCTATATTAGGAAAATGTAACTTTTTTTGAATATACTTATATTCAAAGCTAGTTGAATATAAGCAAATACTTATAGAAAATATACTTCTAGCTTTGAAGTAATTTAAAACATATTCACTTAGAAACAGAAAAAAATCTCAAAAAACTCCATTGGACAAACATATAAGAATTTAAATATATCCTTACTTCATGGGCGCAGATATATGCTTGGAGAAGCTTGTATTATCTGTCCTTGTAAAAAGGTAAACTTTAAAGAGTATTTTAGAGAAGTTATAAATGTGTGTCCACTCTGAGGGTTTTCGATTCTTTCATTTAATTAATTTAACTGGGACCAGGTTGAGATCCTTCTAGCTTGTCTCAGCATTTATAAAATAACTAATGTGTCCATTGCTACAACGTAGCTATACCTTACTACATTAGACTCTTACTGGCCCATGTACTTATTTAAGAAACACTTTGACATGTATTCAAATTCCATTGGAGATTTAATTCTCTGAATCAATTTCTGCATACTTATAATGAGATAGAGCTTATTTTTGTTGCCTTTTTTCATATATATAAAATAATATGTGTATATATAAAATTCAACTATTTTCTGTAAAACTGTGAATAAAATATTACCACTTCTATATGAACATCAATGATAAAATTATATCAATTTTAACATTTAATTTAAAATTAACTATTGATTCTTAATATTTAATCAAATATAATTTTGTTAAATATCAAGGTAGTATAAAGTGGGCATGTTTACTATTTAGTATTTCTGTTTTATATGCTATTGTAGGTAAGAATTAATAAGAAAATATTTTGAGAAAAAATCATCAATATGACAAAGTACCAAGCCTGGAAGTGTGGTAGTACAGATATTCTGAAAAAAATTAATAAAAACATATACATAGTAGATAAATTATAGCAAACATATTTTAAAATATTCTTAAACTCTTTGGACATAGGGAAGTAAACCATAAATAATGAAACAGAATGAATATGACAGAAGCTAAAACTACAATGGTATTGAATATGGAAACAATAGCTCTTCTAATTTCTTAACAATACCTGAAACAAAATGTATAGAGATGAATGAATCCAGAGACTAGGATTCTTGTCTTGAGTCCTTATAGAAAGTCATTTCTCAACATAGACATCTCACAATTTATATAGATTGAGTGCTAATAAATGTGAGTTTACAATAAAACCAAAGTAACAAATGCCATGAGAAGACTATCCACCATAAGCATAGCTTAGCAAAAACACATACAGTAAATTTATATCTCTGGTAACTCAAAATTACAAATATTAAGTACAGATTATAAAGTTTTTTAAAAATGCACATAACATTTTTATTTTTTATTTATTAAAAAAATTTTTAAATGTTTTATTTATTTCTGAGAGAGAGAGAGAGACAGCATGAACAGGAGAGGGTCAGAGAGAGGAGACACAGAATCCAAAGCAGGCTCCAGGCTCTGAGCTAGCTGTCAGCACATAGCCCGGCATGGGGATCTCAAACCCATGAACCGTGAGATCATGACCTGAGCCGAAGTCAGACACTTAACCAACTGAGCCACCCAGGCATCCCACACATGACATTTTTAAATGAGCAAGAAAAAGATACAACAAAACTCAGAATATTACTGCATATTAGTTTAGAAATAAACAAATTGCACCTTCTAGTAACTAAAAGTACTAGAATCACAACGAAAACAAAACAAAATAGAATCTTAGAGAATATTTTAAAAACCATATTAAAAACCGATGTAGAAACACATAGTGGATTGGTCTTAAGTTATGACACAGCCCAAAGAAAGAAAAATATGAAATTGAAATAAGATGCATACTCAGAAATGTAAGGTGTACCATGCATATAATTAAGCTCAATAAAAGAATAAAGAAAACAATGGGAAGGCTATATTTTAAAAATTTAGTAAGAATTTTCTAATACTGATGAAAAATAGAAATGCTCCATTTCATGAAGGACATCATATTCAAGCAGAATAAAGAAAATTATATCTAAGGAATATCAAAGGCAAAGACAAAGTCTAGAAGTAGCCAAATAAAAAAAATAAATTACATACAAAGAAATGAGTATTAGACTGATAGCACTTTGTTCAATAGCAGATAAAGTATTACATTGATAAAATTAAAGTGACAAGTGAAAATATCTGTCAATATAAGATCATGTACCTAGGAAAATTATCAATACTGAAGGGAAAACAAACATGTTTTAGCTTTAAAACATTTGCCAGAACCAGATCTTCTCTAAAAAAAAGACTTCTTCCCAAATACACTCTGACAGAAAGTCCATTTTCAAAATTTTCAACATGATTATTGTATTATTCCCTTCCACTGACATAAATTCCATAACACCAAGAAATTTGGATCTACAGAATACACCAAAATGTTCTGTGAACACTGTTTTGAGTCAGAGCTTCATATTATGCAGCAAATGTTTCTTCGAATTTTATTAACTTGTTGGACAACTGATTTTATCATTTCTTGGACATGAGTGATAGTTTAGAAACAGTATTTGAACAACAGGAAATTTTTTAAATTTTATTTTTGACAAAGAGAGAGAGAGAGACAGATAGAGAGAGAGAGAATATGAGCAGGAGAGGGACAGAGAGAGGGAGACACAAAATCTGAAACAGACTCTAGGCTCTGAGCTGTCAGCAGAGAGCCTGACTCAGGACTTGAACTCATGAACTACAAGATCATGACCTGAGCTGAAGTCACATGCTTAACTGACCGAGCCACACAGGCGCCCACATGGGTAATTTTTTAAAAGTTAAGAATATTTCTGGTAATCTAAAAAAATTCTTGTGGCTCCCAAGTTATATCTCTAATCATAATCATTTACTTAGAAATATATTAATTAAGTATTTTGTTTCTTACCTGAGGTGTTTATATCCTTAGGGTCATGTAGCATAAAGTATGCTTGTAACACCTAAAGAAACAAAATGAGAATGCTGTATTAATTATACTAGATTATGTTTTCATTAAAAAAGGTAGAATGTGGAATATATGAAATATGTATGACTTCAAAACAAGCTAATTCAGTGAAACTATGTTTAGAGGGAAATTTTTAGCATTGAATCTACATATTAGAAGAGAATAACAATATCAAATAAATTATCTATGTTTCAACCTTTAGAAAATTGAAATAGAAGAACAAATTGAATCCAAACTAAGCAGGAGAAAATAATAATATTTAGAGCAGAAATCAGTTAATTTGAAAACAAGAAATCAATAAAGAAAGTAAATGAATATAAAAGCTGATTCTTTATAAAGATCAATAAAATTGATATACCTCTAGCCAGATTATCTAAGAAAGAGAGGACACAAATTACTAATATCAGAAATGAAAGACGAGACATCACTACAGAGTCTATCAGCATCAAAATATTAATAAAAGAATGGTATGAACTACTCTATGTTCACAAATTTGATAACCTAAATGAAATGGACTAATTCCTTGAAAAACATAGCTGCACATGGCACAAACTTACACAAATAGAAGACACAATAAAATAGGCCTATATCTATTAAAGAAACTGAATCTACAATAACTTTTCAAAACAGAATCCAGCAGAGCCAGATAGATTCACTGCTGTTCTATCAGTTAAGGAAGAAATTATACTAACCCTCTGCACAATCTCTTTCAGAGGATAGAAGCAGAAAGAATATTTCCTGATTCTATAATGTGGTCCTCATTCTAGTGCCAAAATCTGACTAAGACATTATAAGAAAAGAAAACTACATACAAATATCTCTCATGAAATAGATGGAAAACTTGTAAAAAAAATATTAGAAAAAAAATCCAACAGTATGTAAAAAGAATTATACACTTTGACTAAATTAGATATATCCCATGTATGCCTGGCTGATTAAAAATTCAAAAATCAATTAATGTAATCTTTCATATGAGTGAACTAAAAAGACAAATGACATGATCTTATCAATGGATGCAGAAAAAGCATTGACAAAATCCAACACCCATTCATGATTAAAAAGTCTCAGCAGACTAGGAATAGAGGAGAAATTCCTCAACTTGATAATGCATACCTACAAAAACATACAGCTAACATCATACCAAATGGTGACAAACTCAAAGCTTTCCTACAGAGATCAGAAACAAGTCAAGAATTTATTCTATCACCATTTTTTTTCAACAGTGTCCTAGAAGTACAAGCTATTGCAGTAAGACAAGAAAAGTAAATAGAAGGTAAACTGATTGGAAAGGAAACAAATAAAACTGTCTTTGTTCACAGCTAACATGTGATTATTTATGTAGAAAATCCAAAAGAATTGATGAAAAAGGTCCTGGAAATAATAAACATTTATAGCAAGATTATAGGCTACACGCTAACACACAAAGTCAACAGTTTCCCAAATACCAGCAATGAACAAATGGAGTATGAAATAAAAAACACAATACTATTTAAATTAGCATTCCCCAATAGCGCTTGGGATGGATACTGAGTGAAACTACTGAATTCAGCTCAGGTCATAATATCACAGTTCATGAGTTTGAACCCCGCATTAGGCTCTGTGCTGACAGTTCAGAGCCTGGAGCGTGCTTCAGGTTCTGTGTCTCCCTCTGTCTCTGCTCATCCCCCACTCACACTTTGTCTCTCCCTCCCTCTCTCTCAAAACTAAATAAACATTAAAAAATTAAATTAGCACTCCACAAAATGAAATACTTAGGTATAATTTTTTTAAAAATATAAAAAATCCTTATGAGGAAAGCTCTTGATTAATGAATTCAAAGAAAAAAAAAAAACCCTACCTAAATAAATGGAGAGATAATCCATGTTCATGGACAGGAGACTCAATATTGTCAACATGTCAATTTTTCTCAATTTTATAGATTTAATATAATCCTAATAAAATCTAAGGAAGCTATTTTGTGGATATCTACAAAATGATTCTAAGATTTACATGCAACAGCAAAAGACCCAGAATAACCAACTCAATATTAAAGGAGAACACAGTTGGAAGACTGACACCACTTGACTTCAAGATTTACAATAAAGTTATAGAAATCAATTAAAGTGTGGTTATAGTAAAAGTATAGAAAAAGAGACCAACGGAACAAAAATAGAGAGCTCAGAAAGATACCTACACAAATGGAGGCAACTGATTTTTGACAAATGAACAAAGGCTATACAATGGGGGAAATCTGATATTTTCAACATATAGTGCTGGACATCCACGTGCAAAAGAATGAACTTAGATGTAGATCTTACACCTTTCACAAAAATTAACTAAAAATGGGTTATTGGCCTAAATGTAAAAATAAAGACTAGACAACTCACAGGAAATAACATGAGAAAACCTAGATGACCTTTGGTATGATGTTCACCTTTTAGTTACAACACCAAAGGCATGATCCATGAAAACAAAACACTGATAAACTGAATCTCATTATGAAACAAAATAAAACAAAACCCAACCAACCAATTGAAATACTTTTATTATACCAAAAACAATGCCTAAGAATGAGAAGACAAGTGACAGACTGGTAAAAAAAAAAAAAAAATGCTTGAAAAAGATGTATCTTATCAAGGATTATTACCAAAATATACAAATAATTCTTAAAACTCAACAATAATAAAAAAAAATTTTTTTAAATGACCCAAAGGCATTAACAGATATTTCATCAAAGAAGGTATGCAAATGACAAAAAAATATGAAGATGTGTTCCACATCATAGATAATCAGGGAAATGAAAATTAAAACAACAAGGAGATATACTACATATCCATTATAATGGTCAAAATCTGGGACACTGATGACACCCAATGCTGGTGAGTATGCTGAACAATAGAAACTCCTGTTCACTGCTGGTGGGAATGCAAAATGGTACAGACACTTTGGAAGACAATCTGGCAGTCTCTTATAAAACTAAAAATACCCTTACCATACGATCCACCAGTTGCACATCTTGGAATTTACCCAAAGGAGTTAAAAACTTATGTCCACACAAAAACCTTCACATGCATGTTTATAGCAGCTTTATTCATATTTGCCAAAACTTGGAAGCAACTGAGATGTCCTTTGGTAGGTTATTGGATAAATAAAATGTAGTACATATAGATAATGTACTACAGTGCTTAAAAGAAGTGAGTTATCAAGCCATGAGGAGACAGAGAAGAACCTTAAATACATGTTACCAAATAAAAGAAGCCAAACCTAAAAAATGGTAGGATTCCAACTATATGACATTCAGGTAAAGGCAAAATTATGGAGACAGTAAAAAAGATCCATGGTTGGAAGGAACTGGAGAGCTGAAGAAGGGTGGAAGATGGGTGGAGACCAGATTTTTAGGGCTGTTAAAATACTCATTGTGATACTATAATGATGAATACATGTCATTACATATTTGTCCAAACCCATGGAATACACAATACCAAGAGTCAATGGTAACATAAACCACAGAATTGGGTGATTAAGATATGTCAGCATAGGTTTGTTTTTTTTTTTAATTTTTTTTTAATGTTTTATTTATTTCTAGGAGAGAGAGAGAGAGACAGCGTGAGCAGGGGAGGGTCAGAGAGAGAGGGAGTCACAGACTGAAACAGGCTCCAGGCTCTGAGCTGGCAGTCAGCACAGAGCCCGACGCGGGGCTCGAACCCACAAACCACGGGATCATGACCTAAGCGAAAGTCGGATGCTTAACCGACTAAGCCAGCCAGGCGCCCCTGTCAGCATAGGTTTATCAGTTGTAATAAATGTACCTCTCTGAGAGGGAGAATCATAAAGTTGTTAATGGGAGACGCTATGTGTAGAGGAAGGAAGTATATGGGAAATACCTGTATCTTCCTCTCAATTTTTCTGTGAACCTAAAACTTCTCTAAAACATTGCCCTTTAAAAAAATAAATGATAGAATATCAAATCAATATTTTAGTGTGAGGCTCTACTTCAAAGTAGGTGTCCTACTAGATAAATAGAGGTGCAAATCCTAATTGGTAATAGCCCAGAGGTTCCATGAGATCACAGGGGCATTGTATGGTCACTTTCCAATGTTAAGAAAAATTTAAGAATCCTCATTTTTTAATGAAACTGCCTTATAATTCATTGTTGACAATTAATTCCCAAATGTAAATGTATGTTGAAGATTGAACTTCCATGACCAAAAGCAAACAAAATATGCATTCAAACTCTATTTCACAGACCAACTCTTCATTCTGTTTGGAATAACATCTCCCTATAATCTTACATGCAGCCTCTACAACTGATGGGTTAACCTAAACTGCACATATTTTATCACTTCAGATAGCTTTAGATTGAGGCTTAGAGTAAAAAGCTAATAATCCAATATGGTGTAAGTTCCATAAAGGAAGGGATGTGGGCTGTGTTGCTCAGTACGCTATGGTGACTATTGATTAGAAAACTACCTGGCACGAAGCAACTACAGAATATTTGTTAAAAACAAACAAACAAAAATAAAAAACCCAAAACCCCACAAGATATATATATATAATTAAAAACATTAAAAATATATTTTAAAAATCTATATGTGTATTACTTATATATAATAAATAAATGATGGAATGAAGTAGATCAAGTAATATTTATGGGCAATGTAGCCCACATTCTAATAACTGTTCTTCAAACTAATAAGAAGTTTTACCCACAGCCTCTTATTTGTACTCAGACTAATTTAGGAATGAATACTTTAAATTTTGCTGGAATGCCTTTGCTAAATTTCTCATTCCAGTGTAGTCACTTTAAAATGCTAATTAAAGAAGTATAGTCTGAAATCAGGAGATAGAGCCATCTCCTTCTCCATCTCTACCATGAGAGTAGAACTAACAAAAGTTATAAAATGCACCTCTTTTTGCTGTAAAAAACTATAGAATATATTTTATATGATATGACAAGGTCTAAAGCAAACAATGATTTCTTCTATATCAATAGTATGATATTGATCTAGGGCAATT